GGGAGACCGGATATAGTGAATGCGGGGTCCTGGGTTTAGTACTGTGGGAGACCAGATATAGTGAATGCAGGGTCCTGGGTTTAGTACCGTGGGAGACCAGACATAGTGAATGCAGGGTCCTGGGTTTAGTACTGTGGAGACCAGATATAGTGAATGCAGGGTCCTGGGTTTAGTACTGTGGGAGACCAGATATAGTGATGCGGGGCGGGGTCCTTGGTTTAGTACTGTGGGAGCCCAGATATAGTGAATGCGGTGTCCTGGGTTTAGTACTGTGGGAGACCAGATATAGTGAATGCAGGGTCCTGGGTTTAGTACTGTGGGAGACCAGATATAGTGAATGCGGGGTCCTGGGTTTAGTACCGTGGGAGACCAGATATAGTGAATGCGGGATCCTGGGTTTAGTACTGTGGGAGATCAGATATAGTGAATGCAGGGTCCTGGGTTTAGTACTGTGGGAGATCAGATATAGTGAATGCAGGGTCCTGGGTTTAGTACTGTGGGAGACCGGATATAGTGAATGCAGGGTCCTGGATTTAGTACTGTGGGAGACCGGATATAGTGAATGTGGGGGTCCTGGGTTTAGTACTGTGGGAGACCGGATATAGTGAATGCAGGGTCCTGGGTTTAGTACTGTGGGAGACCAGATATAGTGAATGCAGGGTCCTGGGTTTTAGTGCTGTGAGAGACCAGATATAGTGAATGCGGGGGTCCTGGGTTTAGTACTGTGGGAGACCAGACATAGTGAATGCAGGGTCCTGGGTTTAGTACTGTGGGAGACCAGATATAGTGAATGCAGGGTCCTGGGTTTAGTACTGTGAGAGACCAGATATAGTGAATGCGGGGTCCTGGGGTTTAGTACTGTGGGAGACCAGATATAGTGAATGCGGGGTCCTGGATTTAGTACTGTGAGAGACCAGATATAGTGAATGCAGGGTCCTGGGTTTAGTACTGTGGGAGACCAGACATAGTGAATGCAGGGTCCTGGGTTTAGTACTGTGGGAGACCAGATATAGTAAATGCAGGGTCCTGGGTTTAGTACTGTGGGAGACCAGACATAGTGAATGCGGGGTCCTGGGTTTAGTACTGTGAGAGACAGACCAGATATAGTGAATGCAGGGTCCTGGGTTTAGTATGTGGGAGACCAGATATAGTGAATGCGGGGTCCTGGGTTTAGTACTGTGGGAGACCAGATATAGTGAATGCGGTGTCCTGGGTTTAGTACTGTGGGAGACCAGATATAGTGAATGCAGGGTCCTGGGTTTAGTACCGTGGGAGACCAGATATAGTGAATGCGGGATCCTGGGTTTAGTACTGTGGGAGATCAGATATAGTGAATGCAGGGTCCTGGGTTTAGTACTGTAGGAGATCAGATATAGTGAATGAATGCGGGTCCTGGGTTTAGTACCGTGGGAGACCAGATATAGTGAATGCAGGGTCCTGGGTTTAGTACTGTGGGAGACCAGATATAGTGAATGCGGGGTCCTGGGTTTAGTACTGTGTGAGACCAGATATAGTGAATGCGGGGTCCTGGGTTTAGTACTGTGGGAGACCAGATATAGTGAATGGGGGGTCCTGGGTTTAGTATCGTGGGAGGCCAGATATAGTGAATGCGGGGTCCTGGGTTTAGTACTGTGGGAGGCCAGATATAGTGAATGCGGGGTCCTGGGTTTAGTATCGTGGGAGACCAGATATAGTGAATGCGGGGTCCTGGGTTTAGTATCGTGGGAGGCCAGATATAGTGAATGCGGGGTCCTGGGTTTAGTACTGTGGGAGCCAGATATAGTGAATGTGGGGTCCTGGGTTTAGTATCGTGGGAGGACCAGATATAGTGAATGCAGGTCCTGGGTTTAGTACTGTGGGAGGCCAGATATAGTGAATGCAGGGTCCTGGGTTTAGTATCGTGGGAGACCAGATATAGTGAATGCAGGGTCCTGGGTTTAGTAACACTTTAACTCATTGAGCTATGTTAATGATCCTAAACAGTCAAGTATAGTCCTGAGCCTTGATAACAGGAGCTCTTGACTGTTAGGCACAAGGTTGCCTTGTAAGAGGCCCTATTCCTAGTGGCTGACCAAGCTTTATGAAGAGAGATGTGTCCGCAAGGGGTTTAGCTGATGAGGGTGCACAAGTTGATTGTACTATCCTGAAGCTACAGCAGTCGACAGATTATTACAGCCTTGAAAGATGTTTCCTCCCACCCTCTCATATCTCTATTATCACAGGTAGGTGGAGATTTACACTGTACTTTGCTTCTGAAAATGGTACCTTATTGATGCCCTCAGAAGCCTTGATAATTGATATATCTGTACTGAACTCGTGGTTAGGAAAGCCTTTAAGTCAGGTTATGCTGTGTGCCCAAAGTGGCTGGCTCAAGTACAGGTGTTGTCATCTTCAAGTTATCAGTCTGTTGGTTATTATTGTTCATATATGTTTTTTGGATATAAATCAATAAAGTGTAGGTTTTGCCTGTCAAGCTAAGAACAGTTCTCAGTGTCATTCATTGGGATATGAATGTGCAAGGTATATTCTACCAAGGTATATCATACATGGAGTTTAAAGCGGTTTTAAACCCCCAAAACCAAAGATGTACCATATTGCATCTTACCAATCCATAGAGGTGGTGGGTACATTCATTTTCCTTTTTTTAGGCTTTTTCCCCTCTGTTTCATCTGGCAATCTGGCCAGTAACACACCTCCTGTATTAGAGTACCTACACTTTGGATAAATGAGTGAAGAAGTATTAAAACCAAAACCAAAGATGTAATACATTGCAACTTACCATTCCATAGATGGTTGTGGCTGCATTCGTTTTCTTTTTTTAGGCTTTTTCCCTTTGTTTTTGCCTGGTGATCTGGCCATTACCACAACTCCTGTATTAGAGTGCCTACACTTTGAATGAATGAGCACAAGGGGCACATTTGGACAGCAGCATTGCCAGTCTGGGGAGAGAGGAGAGAAGCCAAACTCCAGCTAAAACGTTATAAGCAGTTACAACAGTTGTTTTTTTCCTTTTAGGATAAAGGTTTTAAATGAATACATAAAAGCTGATAATTTAATCACCCCTGCCAGTGTTAAATGGTTTGTCTCAGCCCTGTACTTTATACATCCGCAGATGAGCTTGTTCTTTTGAAAAATAACTCGCCATATCACCAGATGAAAACAGAAGAAACAAAGCTTAAAAAATTAATATAATGCAGCCATCACATCTAAGAATTAGTAAGCTACAATATAATAAATGTTTGCTTTTGTAATTGATATTGCGTTAAACACCCTCAGTTGCTATGCCTGTGCTCCAAAATAGTCATGAACTCTCACTCCAAAAACTCATGTGAGCATTCAGTGACAGTAGTGCATTCGATGATCTCATTTTACAGATAATTAGCTCTTAGGCGCAAAGCACAGAAGTGTCTAGGAAAAGAAAGTGATGAGCTATTTTTTGGAAGGAAGTCAAGAAAAAAGGTACATTTTCGGATTTATGCACAATGAACATATTTATTCGTATTGATTTAATTTTTAAAAAAAGAGAGAAGAAAAGCGTAATACTTGTAATAAATAAAATGTACAGAAAGGTCTACTCATACCCTTGAGAAACTAACAGGAAAGGAATATGCCATTGCTGGCTTGTTTTTAAAGTAACAAGCTTCAAGAAATAATGGTTACATTGTGAAGTTGCACTAGTAATCCAATTAAAAATGAAAAAAACAAACAAACTAATAATTAAACCTAAATAGTAAAAAAAAGACCTGTACATTAAATCTTTGAAACATACAGTATATAAATGAAATTGCTTGTAAACACTACAAAAGCAATGACCGCAGGAAACTGATATATCTCTAAATCCAAAAATGCTAAGGGTACTAGAACTTCTCCAATTAAGTTAAAAGGGCAAAGAAATGATTCTCCCTGATATCTCTAATTTTACATGTGCCTAGAAGCAATAGGAAGCAGGAGTGGTAGAAAACAAACTTTCATTTACCCCCCTTTCTCCGGTTTATATCTAATGCGACAAGAAAAGTTCTGGCAAATGTATACAAAAGACCGTCAAGCATGGTAAATACTTTAATCGTGTTATTGCAGCTAGGTTTGCTGTTGAATAAAATGTCCGAATTTTTGTTCCTAAAAATTTCAGACACCCCTCGAAGAATATTTAATGTGTATTAGCTTAAAGTGGAACTAAACTGCATCTGACCACATCAAACCTAAAACACTAATTTATTTTTAATATTAAATGGGAACTCCCTTATCCATGTCTCTACACTTTATTTCACTGAGAAATCACTTTGAAAAAAACACCCCCTAGCATTCCTGGGAGTCCTTTTTTTGTTGTACGTCCGAAAATCCACTGTAAGCAGAGAATATACGTAGAGGCATACCATTAACCTTTTGCACAATTCAACTTTACCCACTAGCCTACAGGTCACTTATACCCCCTTCCTGCCCAGGCCAATTTCCAGCTTTCAGCGCTGTTACACTTTGAATGGCAATTGCGCGGTCATGCAACATTGTACCTATATGAAATTTTTATCATTTTTTTGTGACAGAGAGAACTTTATTTTGGTGGTATTTAATCACCTCTGGGTTTTTTATTTTTTCCTAAACTAACCAAAAACCACTGACAATTTTTGAAAAAAATGTTTTTTTCTTAGTTTTTTGTTATAAAATTTTGTAAATAAGTAAAATTTTTCTCCTTCACTGATGTGCGCTAATGAGGCTGCACTGATGGGAACTGATAGGCTGCACTGATGGACACTGATAGGTGGCACTGATGGGCACTGATGAGGAGGCACTGGTGGGCACTGATAGGCATTGACAGGCATCACTGATGGGCACTGAAAGGCAGCACTGATACATGGCACGGATATATGGCACTGATAGGCAGCACAGATAGGCGGCACTGACTGGCACTGTTAGGCGGCTGGCACTGTTAGGTGGCACTGACTGGCACTGTTAGGCGGCACTGACTGGCACTGTTAGGCGGCACTGACTGCACTGATAGGTGGCACTGACTTGCACTGATAGGCGGCACTGATGCACACTGATAGGTGGCACTGACTGGCATTGATAGGCTGCACTGACTGGCGCTGATGGATGACACTGAAAAGCAGCTCAGATGGGCACTGATATGTGGCATTGATGTGCACTGGTATGCACGGATATGTGGCACTGATGTGGCACTGATGGGCACTGGCACGAGGCACTGATGAGCACTGACGTAAAGCACTGATGGACACTGACACTGACAGGTGGCACTGCTGAGGCTACACTGATCATCAGGCTTAGCATGGGTTAGGACAGCCCTTAAAAGTGAGAGAGCCTGATCAGCACCAGGAGAGTTTGTGTGGAAGATGGAAAAGTGAGGCTGGAGAGTAGGAGCCTGGAAGGGAGCCCAGATGGGAAGAGGCTCACTTACAGTCAGGAAAGCTTGAAAGGAGGAAAGCTCAGGACATCACCGGTCCCTACAGCAAGGACCACCAATGCAGCAGGGAAGGAGTGGCCCAGCTAGAAGGCCTGGTAGCAGCCGCCAACCCACCAGCAGCAGAGGGGAAGGACTGAGTGAGTAAGGGCAAGGAGCACATTAGTGGGAAACTGGATTGGCAGACTACCCAGGACTGTCTTCTTTTAAAGTGGCAGATACTGGATCCCCGGCCCAGTGAATTCACCCAGAACAGCTGTATTAGGAGAATCTGGGGTCCGGGGTGGTACTACAGGAGATACTGACTAGCTCTCCAGAAGAGAATTTTTGCTGTAAGGGTTTGTACTGTATATAGTTTCAGGAAAGTTTGTCTTCTGTTGCCTTTACCCTTGGGCATCCCATACACCCTTTATCCCATCCATGTTGAATTTCCTGGATGCAAGTCTGTGTGGAAGATGCATGTTGCCTGGCTGTGCAGGACTATAGGGAGACCCAAAACTTTAGCGACTCCTAAGGGGGGTAGTGCAACATATTAGTAAAACATATTTAATCATTTGTTTAGCTAGCTGGCAATACACAGCTCCTGCTGGATCAGCCATAATTTGAGCCATTGATGGCCCTATCGGTACAACCCAGTTCAACATACCTAGATCTAGGGCAGGGGTGGGCAAACTTTTTGACTTGAGGGCCGCAATGGGTTCATATATTGGACCCGGGGGCCGGACCAAGAGTAGATGAATGATGTGTATGTGTCATCCATAGTAACTATAGTACTATTCCCCCATAGTAAGCATAGTAATTAATCCCCATATAGTAATTCATCCCCCATATAGTAATTCATCCCCCATATAGTAATTAATCCCCATATAGTAATTCATCCCCTATAGTAATTAATCCCCCATATAGTAATTCATCCCCCATATAGTAATTCATCCCCCATATAGTAATTCATCCCCCATAGTAATTCATCCCCCATATAGTAATTCATCCCCCATAGTAATTCATCCCCATAGTAATTCATCCCCCATATAGTAATTCATCCCCCATTCATCCCCCATATAGTAATTCATCCCCCATAGTAATTCATCCCCCATGTAGTAATTCATCCCCCATATAGTAATTCAACCCCCATAGTAATTCATCCCCCATATAGTAATTCATCCCCCCTATAGTAATTCATCCCCCATATAGTAATTCATCCATACACACAGTTTGATTACATGCCCCCATGTCCTCCAAGGGCTGCTCATCTCCCAGCAGCAGGACATGTGGGTAGGAGGCAGGTAATCAAACTGTGTGTACAGCCCGATGTAAGAACAATCTGCCGCATGAAGGAGTGCTGTGCTGACAGGAGGGGAGAACACAACACAGCTCGCTCTCCCCTCCCAGCTCTGTAGCAGTTTCCCCCTGTAAGGTGAGGGGGGAGACCTTACAAGCAAACTGTACACAATGCAGAGAAGTACACATGGGGGGGGGGGCGGGGAAACAATCATTCAAGTTTGGGATGTTTGTGGAGGATGAGGGCTATTTGTGCTGGGAAGAGTAATGGGGATTTGTGCTAGAAAGAGGGGGGTAAGGTGGATTTGGAAATTTGTGCTAGGAGGAGGAATGAGGGGGATATTTGCTAGGAGGGGGGGTTTGGGAGGATTTGAGCCAGGAAGGGGGATTGGGGTATTTTTGTGATGGGGGTGGGTGTGATTTGTGCTAAGAGGAGGGATTGAGGGGATTTTGGTGGGGAGGGAGGATTTGTGCTGGGAAGGGTAATTTGGATTGGGTTGTGCTAGGAGGAAGACTTTGGGGGAATATAGTAGAGAACAAAAAACAAAGCGCACCAACCTTGTGCATTACCTCAGTAAGAAATTCATAAATTTATAGATAAATTATACTCACAAGAGTAGCAGTAAAAAAGGCATATAACATCCAAAACTAAACACAGGGTTAGAAGACATGTGCAAGTTCCATCTGGAAGGGAGATAAACTCTTGGTCAAGCTAAATTGCACATTGCACTTTGGGGGAATATGTCCTAGGACAGGGGGATTGTAGGGAGAGGATTTGTGCTGGGATGGGGGATTGGGGGGAATTTTGTGCCAGGAGGGTGTGAGGGAATTTAGGCTAATGAGGGGGACTGGGGTGGGTGAGAATTTGTGCTAAGAGAAGGAATTTGGGGGGATTTGTACTAGGTTGAGGGACTGGGGTGGATTTGCGTTGGGAGGGAGGATTTGGGGGAGAGGATTTTTGCTAGGATGGAAAATGTGAGAAAAAAAAAGAGGATGTGTGCTAGAAGGGATGATTTTTTTTTTTTTTGGGTAACAGAGATTTGTGCTAGGAGGAGTAATTGGAGTGGGATTTGAGTTAGTAGGCAGGGATGGGGTGACAAAAATTTGTTCTGGGAGGGGGGATTTTTGCATTCTTGTTTGGGGGGAATGTTTTGGGCACTTAGGGGGTGAATGTGCTGATTAGTGTTGTCTTTTTTTATGGGGAGGGATTTATGCTGACACAGGATACTCGCACTTGGGGAAGGGGGCAGTTTTGACATCTTTACCCTAGGCACTATATGACCTTGTCCTGGCACTGCCTGTACTACAAACAGGGCATACAGCAGATCTCCTTCTCCCCACACAGCACATAGCTGAGATTGAATTCCATTACAGACACAGCCTCAATCTGCACAGTGTATAGCTGGCTGCTATGTTGCAGTAACCACCAACGTAATTGAGACATTTATACTGACCAGTGATGTAACAGGGGTATTTAAAATGACTCCCCCAACTCTCTGCTAATCTTTGCATCCTTATTTAGTACACATTTGAATCCTAAATCCTCTGTACTCCAACCCCCCTCCCCAATAACCTCTGCACTAAAACCCCACTCTGTTTAACTCGAAACTCCTCAACTAAACTCTGCACCCCCCATGCTACCCTCTGCATTCCGAACTCCTGTCTGTTCAACTCTGCAACCCAAACTCCTCTTCTTATCAATCAGAAGCCCTCTAGCCCATACTATCAGTACTGCAAGGAAAGGAGAGAAAGCCACCGGGATTTCAATCCCTGGACTGTTGAAGTGGCTTTTTAGTGTCTGACAACGGATGATCATGACAATCTGGTACAGCAGGACCTGGGGGATGGAGAGGGGGTCCAGTGTAAGTTCCCCTTGCAGATTTTCTGTAAAGGGGAACTTACACTTTAAGTAACACTTACATGCTTTATTCATCATTCATCTTATGACAGTTAAAGAAGGAACAGCAGACTATTCTCTCTCTTTACATGTCACTTGTTAGCATTTGAAATCCCAGTGTCTTTCTTTCCTCTCCTTGCAGTGCTGACAGTACAGGCTAGATGGCTTCTGATTGGTCAGTGCCATCCATGTGATGATGCCAACCAACTAGAAGCCCTGTAGTCTGTACTGGCTAAGCAATACGGACAGGAGATTAAGTTGTGGGGGTTTCAAATCCCTGGGCCAGTGCAGAGGCTTGGGAAGGGGGTCCAATGTAAGGTGAACATAAAATTTAAAGAAGCATTTACATATTGTCATGTAGGGTCAAGCTACAGTGTCTCTGAAAAGGGTGCTCCCCCTTCCCCTGATCCCCTTATAGTTACCTGGCTTGTGATTCCACGCAGCTCTCTCTTATATAACAGATAGAGATACTACCCAGCTTTCTGACCTACTCCTCTGTGACAGCGTTTGGGCCCAGCAACCAGTTGCTAGATCCCAATATTGTCAGATAACTGGGGGAATGACACCACAACAAAATAGATTTTAGCATTGGCTGGGACAGAGGATTGAGTGGCAAAGGAGTGCAGGCAAGGTGACTATAATGGGTCTGGGCTTTCATAGAGACACCCTGCAAAGACTCAGGGACTCGGGACTGAATAGAAAGAAATACAAATCATTTAACCACCTCCCACGCGCCATATAAAGATATGACGGGAGGGTGGCGGTTCTCTCATTCTGGGAGGACGTCATATGACGTCCTCCCACTCTAGCTGTGCATGCGCGCCCTCGGGGGCATGAGGCATGGCAATCATCAATCACAGTAAAGTCTTGATGACGTAGGCTCTATCATGTGATCAGCTGTGTTCAATCACAGCTGATCGCATGTAAATAGGAAAATGACGGTTAGCAGCAGTTCTCTCCTCATGCTGACAGTGCGTGAGGAGAGGAGAGCCGGTAAGCAGCATTCCTCAGGGGGGTACATGTACAATGATCATCAGGGCTCATGATCATCAGGGCACTGATGATCAGTGTAGCCCCATCAGTGCTACCTCTCAGTGCCCATCAATGACACATACCAGTACCCATCAATGCCACATACCAGTGCACATCAATCAGAGCTGCCTATCAGTGCTAGTCAGTGCTGCCTATCAGTGCCAGTATGTTCCGCCTAACAGTGCCCATCAGTGCCGCCTATCAGTGCCCATCAGTGCCGTCTACAGTTCCAATCAGTGCCGCCTATCAGTGCCAGTCAGTACCGCCTATCAGTGCCAGTCAGTACCGCCTATCAGTGCCTATCAGTGCCTATCAGTGCCGCCTATCAGTGCCATATATGAGTGATGCCTGTCAATGCCAACCAGTGATGCCTGTCAATGCCCATCAGTGCCTCCTCATCAGTGCTACCTATCTGTGCTCATCAGTGCCCATCACTGCAGCCTCATTAGCTCACATCAGTAAAGGAGAAAATTACTTATTTTCAAAATTTAATAACAGAAACTAAGAAACTTTTTTTTTCAAAAATGTCAGTCTTTTTTAGTTTGTTTAGCAAAAAAAAGAAAGCTCTGTCTCAAAAAAATTATAAACATTTTGTTTGGGTACAATGTTGCATGACCTCACAATTGTCATTCAAAGTGTGCCAGTGCTGAAAGCTGAAAATTGGCCTGGGCAGGAAGGGGGTAAAAGTGCCCGGTAGGCAAGTGGTTAACAGGTAAATACAAATCATTTAACAGGTAAAACAGCTCCCCTGTGAGTTTGCTTAGGGTTCAGCTTTAAGGTATATAACATCCAATTATCAAAATTTCATAAAAACTTTAACATTTAAAAATCACTTTCAATATTTTAAACCTTCAGTTTTTATTAACATAATACATAGTGATTATCCCATGAAGGTACTTGTGAAGGCACTTACTGTAGTAGGGTGAGAATTTTCTGTCCCAATTTTTCAGTTTGGCTCCTGTATTTTCATGCTGAATCTCACAGAGTTCCCTTACACTGTAAGGGGGGACATTGCAGAGTCTGTTGTAAGAGAGGACTCTGGGGACTCTGATGCAAGGGGAGTGCTGCAGACTCTGGTGTAAAGGGGAACTCTGATATAAAGGGGTCTCTGATAACCAGAGCCCCCACTTACATTAGAGTTCCTAGCATTCCCCTTTATTCAAGGTTCCCAGAGCCCTCCCTATTTGAATCTGCAGAGTTTCCCCTTACATCTTAAAGTGTATAGTTGCCCATTACATCTGAATCCACTAATTTCCCCTTTACATCTGAATAAACAGATTTCTCCTTTACATCTGAATCTGTTGAATCTGTAGAGTTCCTCTTTTCATCTGAATCCCCAGAGTTCCCTATTACATCTGAATCTGCAGAGTTCCCCTTTACATCTGAATCCACAGAGTTCCCCTTACATATGAATTTTCAGAGTTCCCCTGTACATCTAAATTTGCAGCGTTCCCCATACATCTGAATTTGGGGAGTTCCCCTTTACATTTAAATCTGCAGATTTTACATTGTAAGGGGGGACTCTGCAGACTTTGATGTAAGGGAGAACTTTGGGGACTCTGGTGTAAAGGGAAATGCTAATATAAAGGTGCCTCTGGTAACCAGAGCTCCTACTTATATCTGAGATCCTAGCATTCCCCTATAATCAGGGTTCCCAGTTCCCCCCTTACATCAGAGTCCACAGAGTTCCCCGTTACATCTGAATCTGTAGAATTTCCACTGTAAGGGGAATCTCTGTGGGCTCTAATGTAAAGGGGAGCTCTGATGTAAGGGGTGCGCTGGAAACCCTGATTTAAGGGGGGCTCTGATGTAAGAGGGAGTGTTGTGGACACTGGTGTAAAGGGGAACTCTGATGAAAGGGAATATTTGCTCACCAAAGCCCCCCAACATCAGAGCCTGCAGAGCACCCCTTACATCAGTGTGCCCCCATACATTGGTGTACTCACTAAGGGGCAGGAAAGAGAAGGAAGGGAAAGAGGAGACTTTAGTCACAGTGGATGGTGAGCTAACTGACCTGAGGATGGAGGCTGTCAGCACCTTTCATCATCCCGCTGTTGGACTTCAAACTTCCAGCCCACACATCCCCTTTTCTGAGGGGGGAAGACACAGAAGGAGTGAGGCGGGGGGAGGAGGAACAGATCCAGTTCTCTCTCCTCTCCCGTCCATACGAGGTGGGAGGGGGGGGGGCGATCAATGCTGGCTCTGGGCTATGTGAGAGGGATACCATCAGCTCAGACTGCTACAGCCAGCAACCCTGCCTGGGAGCCACAGTCTGGGCTCTTAGACCCAAGACTTGTGAGTGTTCACATTGCAGAGCTCACCCCTTCATTTTACAATGGAGGAAGGGGAGTAAAGAACAACTAATGAATGAATGAATAATTAATATATTAGTTCCAGATCAGAGTATCGTTGGGATCGTTTTTAACCCTTTTGCCTCCCCTCTCACTTCTCTCCAGTATATTTCAGCTGTACCCTGTCACTGCAGTGACCTGATGCATTTAATGCATCTAATGCAGCATTAGCAAACTCTGGGAGGGATTTACGAAAAGTTGTGCATTCAGAAGCTGGTGCAGTTGTGCATGAGAGCCAATCAGCTTCTAACCTCAGCTTGTTCAATTAAGCTTTGGCAATAAAACCTGGAAGCTGATTGGTTTCTGTGCAGTTTCTATGACTTTGCACTCTCCATCTTTAGTAAATCAACCCCTCTGTGTTTTAACTCCCTCAATTCCAACATGTTTCTTTGTTTCCCAAAAAAATGTGGCAAACATGGAAATCGCCTTATGGTTTCTACTTTCCAAAAAAATGAGTCATTTTGGGACATAAAGTAATTAAAACAATATTTTTCTTTTTCATTTTGTGCTTTTCCTTTACTGTACATAGTAAAATTAAAAACCCAGCAGATATTAACCACCAAAAGAAAGCTCTAGCTGTCTCCAATACATTATATTAAATGTGGGTACCATGTTGCATGGCCGAGTAATCGTCAGTCAAACTATCACATCACTGAAAGCTGGTAATGAATAAGTGACACGGGGATAATACAGTCTACTGCCTAGAAGATTAGAAAAACATATTTGTTATGATACACAGTGCTTTAGCAAAATGAATGTCATTAATTTAGTGTTTACATCATTTAGTATTGGCAATTTATACAGTAGTGTGTATGCTTCCTAGATTACGTATATTCCTGTGTATTGAATGTGATCCAACAATTTTCATCAAAAAACGAGATTATGCTGTATGACAGTGAATCTGTGAGCTTGTCAGTATGTATAAAGTAACAGAACTAGTATAACCTGTCAGCAGGTATCTTTGGTTCTAGCTACAGTTTGCTAGTGGTGCCCAGCTCCCTGCCAGGGGGCTTCTCCCAACGTTTCCAGAAAGACCAGTCAAAGTCCTTGGGCAAAGCGATCATCTTCAATGCCCATGCAAATTCTAATTACTTTGACCTTTTGAATGACAAACTACAAAGGCAAATTCTGCACTCTTTTATTACCTTTTTTTCCTTTACAATGACCTGGTTTTAACAAAAGATTTACTTTATATACATATGGTTGCTGTATTGCCTATTTTGGGTAGGAATTAAGTGGAATAAATTAACTAAATATTTTTAAATTTCTACAGAATGTGATATGTTCCTGTGTGCAATGTTCCAGTTTAAAAATAATGGCACTGTGTTTTAATGACCCTATGCATGATCGTTAGGCCTCATTCACACAGGCATACTTATCTGTACACCCAAGTGAAGGGCTATCTTTGACAGGTTTTCTGTGCATGCAGTCCCATTCAAGTCTACTGTGATGCAATAGCTGCACAGACCTATGTCCCCATTTCACAGCCATATGGGTGCGTGCCCCCAAACGCACACTGTCTGTGGTTGGGGATATGAAGGATATTAGGACCGTGCAGCCGCTGTGCCCCATTATACATGAATGGGACTGTCTGCACGGGGATATACGGAACACCTGTGCATCTCGTACAGGCATAGATGGCCCTTCGCATGGGTTTGGATAGGTACTGTATGCCCATGTGAATTATGCCTTATGCTGCAGTTAAAATAACAGGAAGGTATTCATTAGTTTTTAGAACTTGCAGGATTATTAAATGTTTGCATATTTCTTATGTTGGTAAACTGCATTACAATTGCTTGATGAACCCTCTCTTCTTCTATCAATGCTTATTGCACTGCTTCACAGCTGATTGTCTTCTTTCACTGCTATTCTATACTTCCAGAATGTGTTCTGCTGTACAGTGGCTGAAAGAAGCCTATACAATATCAAATTAGGGAACTTACACAGGCTGCATTTAGGAATGTAGTTATATAGCTTGTGTCTTATATATCTGCCTGGCGTTCATCTTTAACCCTTTTGCTACCATGTTCATACGTCGTACGAATGACAGGTATACACACTCCCAACCACCAGGATTGTGTATATATCCAACGTCTAGCTATCAGATGGAAGCAGTCTGGTGCCTCCACCAGCTTTAGATTGCTTCCACACACCACCTTCCCTCCACCTTGTATCTTAGTCTTGGCTTGCCCATCTGTGGGCTCGGCATGGAGGGGGCCACCAAATAGAGGGGAGGGAGCTGAGCGGACGTGCATCCATTCTCCACCCCTTCTTGTTGCTGACCCCGAAGCAATGTAATTTCCAGTTTCCCCTTTCACTTTGCCTGGCCGGCATAGTTGGGAAATAATCTGATGCAGTGTGATTTGCACTTCATTACATAGGGGACTTTTTGTCCCCAATGTGCCTGAGGGAAAAAAATAGTTAGGTCATTTTTTTTTAATTGTAAAAAAATACATTTACACCCAAGCACATAAAAACCCAAAAATGCTTTTTGAAGCCCCCCACCCTTCCATAGATGTACGTCCAAATATAAACGTACATGTCAGGGGCACTTATGCATGAAAACATTGTTTGTAAAAAACATATGTTACATATCACAGAGCATGCCCAAGTGAGAGCAATATTTCTAGCACCAGACCTTCTCTGTAACACTAAACTGAAGACCTGTAGGGACCTTTTAAAGCGTCATATAGAAAATATAGGGTACTGAAGTTTGTTACCATTTTATGAGCACACGCAAGGTTTGACATGTTAGATGTCTTACTTACTCAGTGTGGTCTCATTTTTTTTTTTAGATTTTACCAGAAAATTGGGTAGCTTATTACGTTTGTGTGCCCTAAAATTAACATTGGTGTATTTTTAAATGAAATGTTGCATTTTCTAGACCTTTGCAGTAATATCATGTAACGAAAAAAATTGGAATTTTTAATTTCCAAGGTATGTGGTTTCAGAAAATATATAATGTTTTGGGGGTTTATGCAATCTTCAGGCTTA